TTTATTTTATTTCTTTCCAAATCAGAATTGTAAAACCAGAAAAGCTTGCTAAATAAAACCTCACAACGTAATAAAAGTGTCTCTGCACAGGTTCAGAAGAAACAGTAGGACAAATTTCAGTGTTTTTTTAATGGAAACAATTTCTTCACAGCCTAACTGTACTTAACGCATTTGTTTGCTTTTGAAAACGCTGCAAGACACTTATCTCCACGTCTACGCACCTACATAGCTCGGAAAAGATCACCTGTAATGTACTGTTATTGTCAGAGACGTGGTTCTCTGATGAGATTATGATCTCATTTTGTTTGATCAGGTCCTAAATAATATTACTGCTTCCTCTGGAATTGCGTTTTCTCAATAGTCCAATTTTCAGACAAAACAAACTCTCCTAATTTTTTTGGCTTCTTAAAAGACATTTAGCATAAAATATAGAATGCTGACTAATTTTCTCTGTGAATATCTGTTACACCTCAATTTTTTTTCTCTGCTGAGGCTACTGGAGAGTAGAAGAACAGATTGCTTCATACTCCTGGCAGCATTATTTAAACCCTGGTTCTGGTAAAAAATATTTCTTTGGATATGGTTGAATCCATTTAATTTTCTTAATATCACATGAAGACTACTCAGACCATAGTTTTATAGATGCAGAATTCTACCCAGTAGTAGAATAAGTTGTATATTTGGAGGGGGACTAAAAGGGACATAGCAATTATGTAAAATAAATTTGGGGAGGAGGGGGTAAAATGATATTTTAATTCAGATGGATTTTAAGAAGTAGCCTTCACTTAAAAAAATAAGATATTTTTAGAACACTCTAACTCCTTTGTTGGCATTTGTGCTTTGTGGTGGCATTTTATTTTAAATGTAATTACATTTCTTGAAGGGGAGAGGGGAATCACATAATTCCCAAAGAAAATTAAAAGTGTAATTTAGGATTGCACAAAATGTTCTAGGCTGAATCAAAACAGTTTCATTACTCTTTATTCCCTTACGTGAACAACTCTTCCTTGTGGAAGGCAAACAAGGTCCTACTAAATTTGAGCCAGTGCAAAAACTCCTAACAGATGAGAGCTCATATGAGGATTAGGCAAAGGCCAGCTTGGTACATAGATTTGTATTCCTGTTTAAATTTGATTTGGCACTGTCAACAATTTCTGGCGAAATTATCTTTAAATCAAATTAGTTTAGATTAAACTTAAAACTACTACTTTGTTTTGACGAGAAGTCTGGGCTGAACCTCACTATCCAGCTTCAAGAGCAGATGTAAAGAATAAAATTTAAAAGGAGAAGAAAAGACAGAAAAATAAAAGGTGAAGGATGAGAGACAGAGAAATGAAATTAAAGATACTAATATAGAAATGAAGAAGAAAAAAAAAGCAGTAGCTGAAGAGGAACTAAAATGGACAAACACTAGGAGAATGTATATTGAAGGAAGAGATGCAGGAGCAAAAATAATTAGGGCCAAATCTATCTGTCAAAGATGAAAATGCCATTTCAAGCATCCAGAAACTGCAAAACTGTCACAGGGAAGAATCAGTTGCAGTCTGTGTGCAAAAACAGAGTAGGTAAATGAGGGGGGGGCGTCCTGGCGGGAGAACACGGTCTGACCTCCCAGCCCAGCGCGGTGCAGCGGTCCCTCGGCCTCACAGCCGAGCCCTGAGCCCCAGGGGAACCGTGGCGGGTGTCAGGGCCCACCTGCCCAACGCGGGAAGGGCGAGGGCGTTTCCAGGACCCACTGCAACCCTCCAAGGCCCCCAGCACCCAGCCCCAGGCCCTGACGGCCGCCTCCAGGCCCTGCCACCCAGCCTGACACCGCCCTGCTCCCAGAGCAGCCCCTCCCCACTGGGCACCCCCAGGCAGGGGAGCCCACCTTCCCTCTGCCCTCTCGAGAAATCTCCTCCATCCCTCCCCACCTCTGCCCTGCCCCGGCCGCACGGCCCAACCCGGCGTGCCCCGTCCCCTCCCGGCCTTCCGAGCATCTCCCCCCGCCGCCCTTACCGGCCTCCGCGGCAGACAGGCGCGTCTCCGTTGCCATGGCGCACAGCGGGCGCG